TTCACCGACCGTGCTGCCGAGGCTGACGCAGCAGAAGAAGACGTACCTGGAGCCTCGGAAGCTGTCAGACCACTCCCTTTCTGTTCCGTACCTGTTCCACTCGACGAAGACAATCCCCTCGATAGTAACAACCTCGAAACCTTTTACCACTTCGCTGACCAAGGTTACACTACACCCTACCCGGTCGACACAAATGTTTCAGAACGCATCGGCCCCAACTTCTTACCTGATCCAGAAGACGGTGACGAAGCAGCCTATTCCGGGAATGAAAATTCCCCTCGACACACACCCACGGGACTGCAGATCCTCGGCCTCTGGGTCTCCGTCCAGCATCCACCGCCGCCATCTCCGCGCGAGCCCTCGACTCTGTCGCAGGCTCTTGGGGGGGAACATAAGACGAAATGGAAGGAGGCGATGGAAAGGGAACTAAAGGCTCTGCAAGACCGAAATACATGGAAGCTGGTACCTACAACAAGCATCAACGGGAAGAATGTCCTCTCGGGAAAATGGGTGTACCGCATCAAGACCAACGCGGACGGCTCCATCGAACGATTCAAAGCTCGATGGGTCGTACGAGGCTTCGATCAACGATACGGAACTGACTACACAGAAACTTTTGCCCCAGTCTCCCGTCACACCTCCCTGCGCATCCTACTCGCCGTCGCGGCCACGAAGAAACTACCACTGCGTCAAATCGACGTCGCAAACGCTTTCCTGTACGCACCTGTGGACGCCGAGATCTTCGTCGAGCAGCCCCACGGATTCATCAACGACCCTACGAAAGTATGCCAGCTGATAAAATCCCTTTACGGGATCAAACAAGCTCCGCGGCTGTGGCAGCAGCATCTTCACGGCCGCCTCGTCAGAATCGGCTTCCTACAGCTGCCGCACGACCAAGGCATGTATCGACTTCAGAAGGAAAAAGCCTTTATCCTTCTCATCGTCTACGTCGACGACCTGCTCTACATCAGCTCCTCTACCGACATCGCCATCTGGTTCGAAGGGGAGCTGAGAAGTGACCTGACACTCACAGTGTCAGACACAGTGACCGAGTACCTGGGACTGAATGTCGTCGAAGACAACTCGGCATTTTACCTACACGCTGGAAAATACGCAGGCGTTGTCGCGAAGAAATTCGGGCTAACGCCGACTATGGTCACGACTCCCCACCGCTACGGGAACAACAGCAACACCTCCGCGAAACTCCCGGCGAAGCAAATCCAGGAGTATCAGCAGAAGCTCGGCTGCCTACTATTCGCAGCAGTAACCTGCCGACCAGACCTATCTTTTAGCGCGAGCCAACTGGCGACGCATCTGAAGCAACCGGAACAAGAAGATCTCGAGGAATTTAATCGGGCACTACTCTACTTCATCTCCACGCCGACGACCGGACTTACCTACAGTAAAGAAACGACATCGTCCGTACAACTACTCGGATACGTCGACGCCGACCACGCGGGAGACAGGGAAAACCGACGATCGAGAACGGGCTACATCTACCGACTAGAACCTATCGGGACTATCTCCTGGCAGTCGAGCAAGCAGGAACTAATCGCACTATCTTCGGCTGAAGCAGAATATATCGCCCTCTGTACTGCGACCAAGGAAGGACTCTACCTACGAGAGTTGCTCGAGGAAGCGAAGATCGCGACCCTGCCCGTCTTCTCACTCCTCTGCGACAACCAATCTGCGATCAAAATCGCGAACAAGGACGGCTTCGCCAACCGAACCAAACACATTGCCCTGCGGTACTTTTTCGTCAAAGATGAAATCGCGAAGGGGAGACTTCAACTGAGTTACTGCCCTGCAACAGTAATGGCCGCAGACTACCTGACGAAGAAACTGGCAAAGGCGAAGTTCGATTACTGCATGCTGCTGACCGGGCAGACAAACGTCACCGGATCTGAACACGTCAGCACTCCAGAAACGAAGGGGAGTGTTGGAAATATCTCAAAGGACTTAAGCGTTTCTGAAGCGTAACACTATACTCGAGGAAGATCGTAACGGGTACACGAGTCAACGGAGGTTGCACGAGGGGATGGACAAAGAACGCGAAGGGACTCGAAGGGTCGCAACTGGAGGTTGCGACTGACCGTTACAACATCGCGGATGGTAACCGAAGCGACAATCGAGTCGCTGTGCGACTCGATAACCGCTCCTGCAACTGTATTCTATAACTGCTTTCTTATTTTCTATATATTGGTGTATGTTTGTTTCTTTAATCAATCACTTGTTCTCATATACTAGTACAAGGGTTCAACTACTCAACTTCCGCTGCACTACTCAAGTCTCATTCTACAACCGGGACTTAGTCTCTGGAAAGATCCTAAGGGCTTTTCTCAGCCCAACAAATATAATTGAATTTATTGGGCCGACGTGGTGGTACACGTAAACTTTCAGGGATGGGGCAGATAGGAATTGGGTCGGGGGGTATCAAAATTGCAGGGAGGGGAGGGAGGGAAATCGATGCCATCCAGGTGGCAACCTTGTGAAGGTCCGATGGGCGCCCTCGCAGACTCAGCCCGCGGCAGACATCGGCAATTTTTCAGAAGGGCCAATCGACCCCTCACACCGCCTCCAGCACAAAGATTTTGGCCAAGGGTCATTCAGCTCCCTCACAGAGCCCGCAGTACGCATTGGCCTTCGATTTTCGTGAAGGGCCAATATGCTCCCTCACACAGCCCCCAGTACACGTTGACATTTGATTTTGGTGAAGGGACAGCAGTACGCGCCCTCACAAAGCCCCCAGCAAGCATCACGCCCTGATTATGGCTAAGGGGGCCAGTCAGCGCCCTCCACAGGGGTAGCAGCCAGGGCCCTAGATTGGTTTTGAGGCTTCCTGATCCATCAGGATTCTCCCTGCAGAAAAGTCTGAATTCTCAGGGTCCCCTAAAAAAAAATCCTGAGCCATCAGAATTACTTAAAAAAAAATACTGATTTTTCAATCTTTCTATACATGTTTTAGTTCATGAATTTTGTGTGTTCAAGTCTTGGTTTTTGGGGGTGCTGGGAATTCGTAGCGAATTCGCGCGTGTGTGGCGAGATAGGGGGATGGGCAGGAAACGACAATTGGTGGGGGGGAGAGGGGGGAAGGGCTGAATAGGGGGGGATGCGACGAGATTGCAGGGGCGGAGGGAATCTCTTCCCTCGCAGAGCCCTAGGGCAGGCGCACATCAAGCAAATTCGGCCAAGGGCCAACAATTGCCCTCACACAGTCCTCATCACACCTCCCTCACATGACCTCCAACATACAGCACGGTGTTAAAATTATATAAGTTATAATTTAATATAGGCTTGGTAGGTTGTTACTGAACCTTTCTGTAGGGGGTACAAACCCCTCCTTGTACTCCCCTCTCTTCCTAATCCAACGACCTTTCTTCTCGACATCCTCTCACCTCCTAGATCCATTTTTCCTCACGCCATTCCATGGCGGTCTTCTTCCTAGTATCCTAGCCAACCTAGCCTCCTAAGTTTAAGAACCTTTAGTCCCAAGTTTCTAAGATGGTATCAGAGCAGGAGATCCTCCCTGTTGGATCGCCTCCTCACACTTCCGCAATTTACTCCTCACTCTCATTAGCTCGAGCGGCCATGGCGGTCGCGTTTTGCTGCAGTGGCGACGTCGCGCTGCCACTGGCCGCGTCGTGCCGCGACCGGCTCGACGCGCTGCCGTGGCGTCGGGCCGTCGTTCTGCAGTCGCAGCGTCGACGTCCCGCTGCGGCATCGACGCTGCCTCTGCCGTCGCGACGTCGACGTCCTGCTGCAGCGTCGACGGCGCCGTCGGGCCGCAGCCGGTTGCGTCGACGCTTTGCCGTGGCAGCGTCACCTTGCTGCCGTTGCAGCGTCGGCGTGCCGCCACAGCGTCGACGCCGCGCCCTGGCGGCGTCGTCATGCTGCCGCGGCAGCGTGGATGGGCGGCAGCGGGCAGCACGCCGTCGTAACCGCCACCTGCCCGCCCTCCTGCCAGTAAGCGCCGCGCCACTTATGGCGCGTCGCTGAAGACTCGCCTCGCCCCGCCCCCTCCCCTCCCCCCCCCACCTGCACCTGCTTCCCCTGCATCCCCCCCTTTCTTGCTGCAGCCGATGACTGCCATGTGAGGGACCTCTCCACCGCCGAGGAGACAGGACATGCCGCCGAGAGGGCGGGGGCCGCCGCACCAGCCTCTGTCGTTCGAGCCGCCGGCGCCGCCGCTGTTGCCGCAGGCCTGGAGCCGCCGCACACCGCCGCCGCCGCCGCCGTCGTCACTGTCGCTGCTGCCGCCATTGCCGTCTCAAGGGGCCGTGAGACCTACCCTCTTCCGGAGTCGTTGCGGCTCCTGCTGGGAATGGGGGTGCTGGGCTAGGGGGTGTGGGTGTGGGTGTGGGTGTGGGGGTGTGCGTGGGCTTGACACTACCAAGCCTAGGGGGTGTGTTAAAATTATATAAGTTATAATTTAATATAGGCTTGGTAGGTTGTTACTGAACCTTTCTGTAGGGGGTACAAACCCCTCCTTGTACTCCCCTCTCTTCCTAATCCAACGACCTTTCTTCTCGACATCCTCTCACCTCCTAGATCCGTTTTTCCTCACGCCATTCCATGGCGGTCTTCTTCCTAGTATCCTAGCCAACCTAGCCTCCTAAGTTTAAGAACCTTTAGTCCCAAGTTTCTAAGACACGGAGATGTTTTTTGACCAAGGGCCAATCAGTGCCCTCAAACAGCCTCAGGGGGTGGGGGAAGGGGGGGGGGACAACCTCGAAATTCTTGACTGCCCCCCCTAGACACGCTTTTGGAAAGGACTAAGACCCGCTACAATGCTGAGAAATTCAGGGTTCGCTAAGAAACCTTGCTGAGCGATCAGAGTTTACCCTTAGAAAAGGCCTGAAAAAACAGGGTGTGTCATTTACAAAACCCTGCACAATCAGGGTAAGTACCGAGAAACTCCCTGTTTTTTTCCTGAATCAGGAAAAATTTCCTGACTTCTGGGGGCCTGGTAGCAGCACTAATCACGCTCCCCCCAAATCTCGGTATTACAGTACACAGAATCAGAGTCAACCCCACATATAGGGTTGAGGCATCAGAGTACACTAGTAAAAGAAGTCTGAAAAATCAGCGTAGGTACAAAAAAGTTCTCTGAAAAATCAGAGTAAGGTAAAAAAAAAAGTCTTTGCAATCAGAGTACACCCCCAAAAAAACTCTGAAAAAAGTCTGAATCAGAGTAAAAAGTCTGCAATTTGGGGGCCTGAACCAAACATCATTGCGCTTTCACAAACATTGAGAGACTGTTTGCACAAGCGTCCAGTGCCTTCATGCCCCTCCTTCGCACTTCCATACAAGTGGTTCCACTTGGGCAGATTCCATCCTTCCATGCACTACCACTACGTGCTCACAGCAGCAGCTCTTCTCCTCCCCTCCTCCACCCGCGCCTCCAGCTCCCTCGCTGCTGCCTCTGCTGCCTCTGCCTCCGCATCTGCCGCCTCTGCCTCCCTCAGAGCTGCCTCAGCCTCAGCAGCAGCTGCCTCCGCCTCAGCAATGGCTGCTGCTGCCATCTGTGCCAGCTGTTCCACGCGCCCACGCGGCCCTGCTGCCACTGCTCCCTTCTCACCCGCCCCATCTCCCACACCCTCTCCCGTTCCTCTCGCCACATTCTCTGTCATGCCTGCCTCCCCCTCTGCGCCTCTTCCCCCCCGTTCCAGCCACTGCGAGGCAAACAGGCGTCGGCTGAGATGCCCCTTGCTGGCAGTAGTGCAGCCCATGGCAGCAGCAGCAGCCGCAGGCGATGCCGTGGGCGGGCCGTGCAGAGAGGAGAGGTGTGCATGCGATAGGTCGGCTGAGATTCGGTCCAGTGGTGCAGCAGAGGAGGGGAAAGGAGCGGGGGGAGAGGTAGCAGCAGCAGCAGCAGGGAGAGCAGCAGTGGAGCGCAGGGCTGACGGATGCTCCGAACCTGTTGGTGCAGCCCCACTCGCCCTGCCCTCGCCCGCCCTCTCTGCCGCACTGCCACTCCCCGCCCTGCCACTCCGTGCATCTCTCCTCCCACCCACTCGGCTTCCCCATTCCGCCCTCCCCTCCACTCCCTCCCCCTTACCGCTCCCCCCCCACCCCGCTCTCCCCCCACCCTCGCCATCGGACGCCTCCCCATGCCAGCTCGCCCGCCGGCTCTCACCCCTGGCCCTACGGATGGACGGGGATGGTTGCCCTGCCGCATGCCCTTGTGCGTGGCTATGGTTGTGGCTGTGGGGGTGAGCGTGGGGGTGAGAGTGGAGGGCCAGCGGTGCGCTGTGAGGCAGGCGGTAGACGTGCTTCACCTGGCACGCATGGGAGGGCGGGGGTGGACGCAGCATGCGATGGGTGTGAGACACGACAAATGACATGGGTGCGTGGAAACCTATGGCATGATGGCATGACGGCATGCTGATGGGGAGAGGTATTATTATCACGCTCATTAGTAGCACAGTAGTCTGGAAAGTATTTCAGAAACAGACGGCATGGCAGGCATGGGGGCAGAGAGGGCGTGGCAGACAGCAGCGAGAGGTGGCAGGTACACAGGGGCAGATGGAGGGATGGGCATGGCGAGGAACGACGGAGGCTGGCCACGCGTTGGAGCCCCATCAGCCTTCACAACAGGTGCGCTTTGCATCACACTGACTGCAGGTGAGACCGCAGCAGTGAGTGCAGGTGCGCAGTACGTGCAGGTGAGAAGTGAGTGCAGGTGCGCAGAGAGTGTAGGTGAGCAGAGAGTGCAGGTGAGCAGAGAGTGCAGGTGAGCAATGAGTGCAGGTGAGCAGTGAGTGCAGGTGAGCAGTGAGTGCAGGTGAGCAGAGAGTGCAGGTGAGCAGTGAGTGCAGGTGAGCAGTGATTGCAGGTGAGCAGAGAGTGCAGGTGAGCAGTGAGTGCAGGTGAGCAGTGAGTGCAGGTGAGCAGAGAGTGCAGGTGAGCAGTGAGTGCAGGTGAGCAGTGAGTGCAGGTGAGCAGTGAGTGCAGGTGAGCAGAGAGTGCAGGTGAGCAGTGAGTGCAGGTGAGCAGTGAGTGCAGGTGAGCAGAGAGTGCAGGTGAGCAGTGAGTGCAGGTGAGCAGAGAGTGCAGGTGAGCAGTGAGTGCAGGTGAGCAGAGAGTGCAGGTGAGCAGTGAGTGCAGGTGAGCAGAGAGTGCAGGTGAACCAACCCCCTTGCCCCATGCACTACCCACCACCCCCCTCTTCCCCCCCCCCCCCCCCCCTTGCCCTAATGCACCACCACCCCCCCACCCAATGCAGCCCCACCCCCCCCTAATGCAGCATCCCCCCACCTAATGCAACCCCCCCCGGCCTAATGCAGCATCCCCCCACCTAATTCACCACCCGCCCACCTAATGCACCACCCCCCCTTGCCCTAATGCACCACCATCCCCCCACCTAATGTATCCCCCCACCTAATGTATCCTCCCACCTAATCCATCCCCCCACCTAATGCACCACCACCCCCCCACCTAATGCCCCAACCCCCCTGGCACCTTGAGCAGGCGGCCGTCCTCTGAGAGGGCTTTCAGGCGCAGCGGCACGAGGCGTCGCAAGTTGGGCGGCGATGCGTGGTGGTCCTGAGGGGGGGGCATGGGAGCCGGGGGAACATGAGAGGGGGACAAGGGAGGAGACACGAGAGAGGAGAGGGCGCGAATGGTAGAGGATGTGATGTGGAGCAATGGGAGTGAGGTGCTCACATGGTTGTGGAGCACCTCACTCCCATTGTGGGCCACCATGACCCTCACCATCTCCTTCACCTGTGAGAGGAGGAGGACAGGGAGCGGCTGCTAGAGGATGTGATGTGGTCCAATCCAATGTGATCTAATATGAGAGAGCACGCCATGGCCCTTTGCAGGGCGCGCACCTCTATGTGCTTGGCGATGGCAGCTGCGGAGCAACCATGCGATCCTTGCGCCCCATGCCCTCCCTGTGCGCCCTGTGCTCCATGTGCTCCATGTGCCCATTGGGCGTTCTCCAGCGCTGCCACGGCCATCGTGATGGCCTCGTCCAACCTGCTGTGCCATGCCATGCCACAAGATACCAGCATAAGAACAGAAGACGCTTAGTACGCCCGCACCAGAGGTGAAAGAGGTGGGATCATGAGCATCGCTGCAAGACGCCAGCGCCAACAACACTCTGGTGCGCCAAACAGCACCCCGTGCTCCGACGCGTGTGTGAACTGTACTCCCTAAAGAGCAGCAGCAACGGCACGGCGTGCATCACCTGTCATGGTTGGCAGCAGGCAGCGACCCGCCAGCAGCGTCAGCAGTGAACGGCACCATGGCCCACCACGCCTCCTCCCCTCCCCCGCTGCGCCCACTGCTCACACTGCCGCCTCCCACACCCTCACCCCCGCCTTCGCCGTCCGTGCCAGCAGCAGCCGCACCAGCAGACGCGCTCTCCCCCGGTGCCGCGCCACCGGCACCGCAAGGCCCATGGCCGCCATCAGCGTCAGCGTCACCATCATGCCCCGCCACAGCCGCATCGCTGGCGCCCTCAGCGCCGTCGGCCCCCTCAGCGCCGTCGGCGTCCCCACTGCCCGCCGTCGCGAGCGCGTCCTCCTCCTCTAACGCCACCACCGCTGCCAGCTCCGCTCGTGCTGCTGCTGCCGCCGCCCGCACCTCCCGGGGCGCGCGCACCCGCAGCACCACCGCCGCTGCTGCTGCTGCTGCTGCTGCCCCCACGCCTGTGCTGCTGGCGCCGCCCCCTGTGGCTGCTGCCGTCATGTTCCGCCACTTGTCCTGGTGGGGGGGGGGAGGATGGGGGGGAGATGAGAGGGAGAGGAAATGCAGGGGGGTTGGGTTGGGGGGTGTGGAGAAGGGGGGGGGGTTTGAGCAGAAGCGAGGAGAGGAAGGAGTGAGGCGGCTGCAGCCATCTTGCTGCAGCACTTGCCATGGGGGGGTAGAGGGGGGCTTGGGGGGAGAGAGAGGCAGGAAGGAAAGGAAGATGGGGAGAGGAGGAAAGGGAAAGGGGGGGAAAAAGGGAGGGGGCGGGCGGAAGAGGGTGGAGAAGTGGAGGGTGGCGTGGGGCGGAATACAAGGCGAGGGGAGGCGCTGTGTGTGATGCGAGGGCCGGTGTGATGTGCTGCCGTGCAGTGAGTGCTGGTGGAACGGGCCACAGTGCCACACACGGAGCAGCAGCCGCATGAGCGCAGCGCGTACCTTGAGGTCGACGTTGAGCGCACCTTGAGGTCGACATTGGAGCGGTGGGTGAGGAAGGGGCCGAAGGCGGCGTCCTTCTGGATGGCGCGCCACTTGCCCGGCCCGTACTTGTCCACGCCCGCCCGCAGCGCGCCCTCCTCCTCCGCCGTCCACTTCTGCTTCGGCGCACCCATCGTGAGCGCGCACAGGTGCGCCCTCACACGCGCAGCGCGCGGGCTGCGCGGAGGGCGGGCAGCGTTGGCGGCGCAGGTGGACTGGCAGCACGCGGCGGAGTGCGTCCCCGAGGGGGCTGCCCGCACCTGCTGCAGTGGCGGAACAAACGCAGGGGGGATGGGAGGGGGGGGGGGGGCACAGAGAGAAGGGGCTCCGGTTGGGGGTGGGAGTTAGGCGCGGATGCGGCATGCGCGGATGGTGTGGCGGGGCTAGCCCAGGTGGCGCGCGACCCTGCCAGTCAACCGCCGCTGCGGCTGGTGGGGAGAGGGGGAGGAGGAGGAGGAGGAGGAGGAGGAGGAGGAGGAGGAGGAGGAGGAGGAGGAGGAGGAGGAGGAGGAGGAGGAGGAGGAGGAGGAGGAGGAGGAGGAGGAGGAGGAGGAGGAGGAGGAGGAGGAGGAGGAGGAGGAGGAGGAGGAGGAGGAGGAGGAGGAGGAGGAGGAGGAGGAGGAGGAGGAGGAGGAGGAGGAGGAGGAGGAGGAGGAGGAGGAGGAGGAGGAGGAGCAGGGAGACGGCGGCAGACAGGGAGCCTGGGGGACGACGGATGCCGAGGGGGCGCCACACGCGACGACACGCGATAGTGGCGTGGGGAGAGGCGTGCCAGCCAGGCCGCACCTCGACTCTAGGAAGTGCTGCGCCGCTCGTCAGCGACTGACGCCGTCAACCGGGTGAGCACACGGCGCTGCGCGGAGCGCGACGGCGCGGCGGGCGGAAGCGGCGGAAGGAGTTCATCCCAAAATTTGGCGAAGGCAAAACGGCCCAGGGAGCGAGGGATACCCACGGGTGTCCTATGCCAGGCAGGATGCTCTGTTGTTCCCCCCAAGAGTGCCAGGAGAAACTTGTGCGCAAGGCGAAGCTGTTACCTGGGCAAAATAATTCCCTACCCCTCGCAACGAAACTTGACAGCCAATCAGGATCTGCTTACCAAGCTGATTTTGGACTCAAACCATCAGTTCGTGCTGGCCAATAGCAAGGTGCGAAGCCCAGGCCTGGAGTTGTGCTGGTTTTGCCGCCAATTGCATACACGCGTGTACAGCGAAGTGGAAATCTAGTTAGACATACATTATCAAACTTGATGACTCTAGACAGGGCCGCTTTTACGCGTACGATATTGATGGGTATGGTCTTCCAACAGCTGACCAATGAGAGCACACCAGCGTTTTCTCCTAATCTTTGGCTGCGAACTCATGCGAAATCACAAGGCTGGGTAAAGACGGAACGAAGGTGGGGCGCGTTCTACGAGGCGGTTCTCAAAGGAAAACTGAATAATTATTGACTAGAAAGAATTGTACAAGGACATATATCTAAGGGTTGTACTTATCAAATTAGAGAAGTGAATGATAGCTAGAGTGAGAGTACACACAGATATACCTAAGTTTTGTACCCTCTAAGAGGCGACCCTATACAGTCTATACAAACATGACAAATACACATGTTTGACACACCCCCTAGACTGCATAGGGGAATGTCCTAAACAAGCAGCTCAGGGCGGCACTACTAGTCCAACCTCTGAGACAAGGGTCTGAGAGACCAGTCAGAAGAAGTACAAACAAGGCAAGAACAAGAGCAGGGCGGCACTACTAGTCCAGCCACTGGAAGAGGACACAAGTCCAGTCTGAGTATACGTATAAAGGACCGTACAAAGTCAAGGTCCTAGCAAGTGAGAGGCTACAGGAACTAGACCAAGCTGTACACAGTGCCGCAGATGATCTTTAGGCGCAAGCGCCTTCGTAAAGATATCAGCTGTGTTGGCATCTAAGGCCAAGTGTACTACGCGAGCCTGACGTCGCTGCTGTAGCTCACGCAGGAGGAAGTACCGCAGCTGAATGTGCTTTGCTCTGCCCTCGAGTCGAGGCTCCTGACACAGGAGGATCATGGCCCTGTTGTCAGCGAACAGGACTGGGGCAAAGCTAGGCCGCTCACCTAAGTCAGTGAGCAAGAAGGTCAGCCAGCGGAGCTCCTGTGCCGCCATGGCACCAGTGTAGATCTCAGCCTCACAGCTGGACTGCGCAACAGACGAGGAGCGGGTAGCTCTCCACGAGACGGCACCTGAGCCAAGGCTGAAGCAGTAGCCCTGGGTAGACCTGAGTGTCTCAGCGTCGTCTGCCCACGAAGCGTCTGTGTGTCCAGTAAGGACCGCTGGCCTGCGTCCTCCTAGCACTAACCCCATGCCCGATGTACTAGCAAGATAACGCAGAACCCTCTTAGCGGCAGACCCGTGCTGCGGTCGGTGTCTGCCTGTGGCCACAAAGCGAGCCAGGATGCTGAGAGGGTATGCGAGATCTGGGCGAGTGCAAGTCATCAGGTACATGAGGCAACCCACCAGCTCTGCGTAGGGGCCGCTGGGCTCTACCAACTCCTCAGACACTGGAGCGGAGAGTCTGTGGTCTACAGGCAGAGGGGTGGGCTGTGCAGAGGAGAACTGAAGGCTGAACCTCTGAAGGACCTGGCGCACCAAGTGTGACTGAGTCAGGGTGATGGTGCGCGCAGCTCTGTCCCTGGAGATCTGCAAGCCAAGGTAACGGCGCAGTTCTCCAAGGTCAGTGCACGTGTGTCTCTTCAGCAGCTCTGCCTTCACGGAGGCCAGTGCGTCCCTGTCTGCTGTGGCAAAGACCAGGTCGTCGACGTAAACAAGGATGTAGAACGGAGTCTGGCCAGCACGAACGAAGAGTGAAGGGTCTGCGGAAGACGGAAAGAACTGCAGGTCAGCAAGCGTAGCACGGAGAGTGTCGTGCCACTCACGGGGAGCCTGGCGCAGGTCGTAGACGGGGCGCCGCAGGAGCCACTGGGTCCCAGGAGGGAAGGTGCCAGTAAAGCCCTAAGGACGACGCAAGTAGACCTGCTCGTGTAGGCTGCCTTGAAGGAAGGCAGTAGGGAAGTCGAGGGAGTGGAGCTTGTAGTCACGCTGAGCAGCTAGGTGTAAAAGAACCTGAAGAGTAGTCATCATCGGGGTCGGAGCGAAGGTCTGGAAGAAGTCCACCCCCTCACGCTGACTGAAGCCTCTAGCCACATAGCGCGCCTTGAAGACAGGCGACTCTCCAGGAGGGCGCTTCACCTTGAAGAGCCAGCGGCCATCGACTATGTTCACCCCAGGTGGGGGAACTGTGTCGACGAAGGTGCCGGTGGATCTCCAAGATGCCATATCCTGCTCCATGGCAGCTATCCACTGCGAGGCCCAGGGTCCCGAAGTCGCCTCAACGTAAGTGCGAGGGGTCGGGATGTCGAAAGCGTCTGGGTCACCCTCAGGGACTAGCAGCATGGAACAGAGATGGGGAGCAGCCTCGGACAGGAAAGCAAGCTCAAACTGGCGGTCCTCCAGGACGTCACTGCCAAGGGCAGGAGCACCCCCGACAGACGGAGGACAGGCAGGGTCAGAGACCAGAGCGGAGGCGTAGTCAAGGCGGCGGGTAGAGGCAAAGTCAGCGACACCAGCGACAAGAGCGTCAAGGCACGAGGTCGGAACAGACGGGTCGGTAACGAGAGAGGCAAGGACCCGAGGAACAAGGGGACGAGCGGCACGAAGGTAGTCAGACAGCGGGGGGGGTGCAACAACAAGGGAGGACGGAGGAGGCGACGGCAGAAGGGGAGGACGAGACGCGTGGGAACGAAGCAACATAGGGTGGGAGCGCAAGACAGGCGAGGCAGGACGAGCACGGGAGGGACGGTGAGACCAGACGTGCGACGGAGGAGTCGGGTCAGGAGACAGAGGAGGGGACACAGGAGGGGAACGAGGGGGGAGACGGGCCGGGGACGAGTCCGGTGGAGGGAAGACAGGGCCGTAGACAGGAAGAGGAGGAGACGGTCGGGGAGGAACCGACGCAGGGTCGGGGGACGGAAGGCCGAGCAGGCGAAGGGCTGACACCGGCGGGGACTGCTGCTGCGGCGGCACAACGGCGACACCTGGACCGCAAGCTGCTTGTCGGCTACCACCGGCACTCTCCACACTAGCACCCCCAGAGGGACCACCCCCAGGGCTACTGGGACGAGCACCCCCAGAGTCAGCAAACGGGTGCGGCGACGGCGGCGGCGGCGGCCGCGACAACGACGGCTGCAGCGGCGGCAGCGGCGGTGGAGGGGGGGCCTGGGGAGAGGACGCCAGGGGAGGGGCGGCCGGCGAGGACTGAACAGGAGGGCCACCAGAGTCAGAAGACTCCTCAACCGGGTCCACCGACGGAAGCGGGGTGACGTGGGACACACCAGAGGGGGCGGGACGGGGAGGAGGAGGAGGAGAGGCAGGGACGACCGGGGAAGGAGTGACCAGGAATAGGGGGGGGTAACCGGGGGACCACGGTGGGGGAAGCGACGGTAGTAGGAGACAGACTCGTCAAAGGTGACGTCACGAGAGTGAAAGAAGCGGTGAGACGGCGGGTGGTAAAAGTGCCAGTCGGACGCGTCAAGGGGAAAACCAAGGAAGACGCAGGGAAGGGTGCGGGCAGTGAGCTTGTCCGTGCCGGAGGCAGCCCCAGACGTGGAACGCAGACGCGTCACCAGGAGACCCAGTCCAAAGACGGGTCGGCGAAACCTGCGGCTGCTGAGGGTGCGGCCACAAGTTAAGCTGGTGAGAAGCGTAGCGCACAGCGAACGGCCACAGAAAATGGGGTGCACCGGCATGGATCATGGAGGTGCGAGCCACCTCCATGACCAAACCGATGCGTCGCTCAGCGACCCCATTCTGCTGTGGGGAGTCCGGTAGGGTGAACGTCTGGGTGATGCCCTCCGCACGACAAAAGCGACCAAGGACACCTGAGGCAAACTCGCCACCACGGTCTGAGTGAAGACGCAAGACAGGGAGACTGCGGTGGACACGCGCAGAGACAAGCCAGGGGATGAGAGCTCTAGGCACGTCGGCCTTGCGCTCCAGGGGAAAGACTGTGGTGTAACGAGTGAAGTCGTCGACAAGCACAAGGAAGTAGCGCTTTCGACGCGACCCAGGGACGGGGGCGGGGCCCCAGACGTCCAGGTGCAGGGTCTGCAGCGGCGCGACGGTAGGGGGAAACGAGGAGGAGTGAGGGGCACGGCGAAGCCGACCCTCGACACAAGGCGTGCAAGGTGGGGCTGGGGAGGAGGGAAACGCGGGGAGGGAACCTGGGAGACCAAGGACAAGACCGTGCTGGGACATGTGACGCAGACGCGGGAGTGCAGGGTGACCTAGGCGGTGGTGCCAAAGGAGGGTATGGTGAGTGAGGGACCGACTGGAGCAGGCAGCAGCAACTTGGGTGAGCCCTCAGCCGGGGGGGTCACGGTGTCCAGAGTGAACAGGCCGGACACCGGGTCCCAGGGGAACGTGGACAGGGGGGCACCAGTGGCGGCCTCGGTATAGAGAGCACACCGCTCGTGACCAGGGAACGTAGTGGTGACGCCAAGGTCCCGGAGGCAGCCGACACCAACTAGGTTCTTGGAGAACGAGGGGATATGCAGACCTGTGAGAGTGCCCAAAGGAACGGCCGGACAGGGCAGGGTGGTGGAACTGCGGGCGACTACTGGATCGCCGGAGGGGTCAGCAAGAGAAACGGCAGCTGGAACAGGAAGCGGGGTCAGGGTGGTGGAGTCGCGGAAGAAACACCGAGAAGCGCCAGAGTCCAAGGTGAAGGAAAGCGAAGCAGAGGCGTCTGGCGACGGAACGACGGCGGAAGCACCAAGACTACACAAAGCAGGAGATCCTACGCCTGACGCAGCAGGGGAGGCTAAGCTAGGCACACCTACACTAGGCAACAGTAAGTAATAGGCGGGAAGCACACTAGAGTCATCAGCATACATCACATGCAGAGCAGAAACAATGGCATCCATGTCCATGTCAAAAATCTGAA